GTTAATCTAAAATATCAGTACATACCAACTGTATCGACCGGTACAAAATGGAATTGATAACCTTGAACATCTATCGTGATATGAAATTCAAATTTTAAGTTTGACATTTCTCCATCTCTTAAAGAATAAATATTAATATTATTAGGATAATTGCCACCTTCAAAAGTAAAAGAAAAAAAAAAGAAAAAAAAAAAGGGAAAACAAACAGACAGACAAACAAACAGCATAGGAGAAAATAGTATGCCAAATAGAACATGACACAACAAGACTCTTATAGCAGCTATTAGTTTGAATCCAGCTAACCAAATTCTAATCCTGGGAGAGGATAAACTGAGGAGCAATAGGATCCTATAATAGTGAAGAATAAGGGCATTCCATAAACAGATGATTTAGAGTTTTAAGGGCATTTTTGCATCTAGGGCAGTAGCTGTCAGCAATAAGACCCATTGATTAAGAGTGTTAAAAGTAAGGATTCTACCATGCACGAGCAGCCAGAGAAAGTACCGAACTTTGGGGATAGTACGAACTTTCCAAATCCATGACCAACTAGTATCGTGCTTACAGTGAATAAAATACTTATTTAATAGGCTTTAAAGCAGTATATAAAAATTAAAAAGGCTTATAGAGTAACTAATATGGTTGCCTAATCTAACGATAATAAGGTGTTTTTTTACTTGTATGGATAAGATTCAAACTTTCATTTTTTTTTTCAACTTTTTTTTTCATAAAGATTTCAACTAATTGGCCTATTTCATAATAACAATAAGTAAATATATATATATAAGTAAAAAAGGTTAACATGAAGCCTTACGCATATGTAATTGACTCCTATAGATAGCTATGTAAATTAATATTGGTTAAACTAACAGCCAGTGGCCAGATGCGCAGTGTGCTTGGGCTTCAACGACCGGGCCCAATGGGTAAAACGGTGCGTCTCGGAGCTATAAAGAGGAGCATAACGCTGCGTTTTGGTGCTGTAGAAACTTTTGTCAAGACTTGAGGAGGTCCTGGAGGAGGAAACTGTCCTTTTGAAATCTGAATCCATCGAACCAATTAAAAATTTTTTTCCTTTCAACTTCCTTTTTTTACTTTTGATTTCTTGAAATTGAGAGCGAATCGAAAGGTATTTCAATGCCGCAGAAGAAGAATTTCAGGAAAAGGAGCTTCCAGGAAGAGGAAGGAGACCAAAAGAACGTTTCCGAGGACGAAGAGGAAAGGAGGTAATGTCAACTACTCAAGAAATTGAATTAGGGTTTTCTCTTCTTTTTTTTTTTGGGATTTCTGTGAGAAGTAATGTAATAATGGCATGGTTTAGATTAGCGCTAGAGGAAGTGAAATTCCTGCAGAAGCAGAGGGAGAGGAAGTCGGGAATCCCTGCCATTCCGACGGTGCAAGCCGGAGGCGCGGTTGATAAAGTGAGTGATAATAAGGTCGAAGCCGATGGAGACAAAGAGGAGCTTGTTCTTCAGGATACCTTTGCTCAGGAAACCGCAGTCTTGGTTGAGGATCCAAACATGTAAGCTTCACATCAAATAAAAAAATTTTGTGCAGTCTTATGTGCTGCCCTTTTGATTTTAGGTTGGTATATTTCATTATATTAGCCAAAGGAAGTGAATTTAGCTCTTTTGTTGAATTTATTTATTTATTTTTGTAAAAGCTTGGTTGTTATGTGGGCGAATTGTTTTAGCAGCAGAGAGCAGTTCCCCGTTATTGAAAGCACTTCCGAGATACATAAAGAAATTGGGAATTTTATTTTGTGCACTGTTTTTTTTCAAAGCAACTTCTTTTCGAGAGATTTAAGTTAGAATACCCTAAGTTAGCGAAACATTGGCTCTTCTGTTGGGGGGTTTTGCATACCCTTTACCATGTTCCATTGTCAATGGAGATAGATTATATCCTCTAAGTTAATAAGGTCAATGGTTTGTGCATCTCATATGTCACATAAGAAACAGCTTGTGTTTACTTTTTACATGTAGCATCCTCTAGGCATAAGTGCATGACTGAAATTTCTTTTTCTTCCCTCGTTGATCGTTTTTATATTGAGGGGATTACTCTTCATTTATTTTGTGATTGCTGTGTAGATGTAGAATTATTCACTAGGGTTCTCCCATGCTCAACTTGTTGATCTGTGTGCCCTTTATTTGACAGGGTAAAGTTTGTTGAGCAAGAACTGGCAAAGAAGAGGGGTAGAAATATTGATGCAAAAAATGAAGTTGAGAATGATGTAAATCGCACTGAAGATGAATTATACAAAATTCCTGAGCATCTTAAGGTGAGTGGGATTATATAATGCACATCATGTCTAGTAGAAGTCATCTCTAACAAATGTTCCATGCTTCAGCTTCCTTTGCCTTTTCACTTAAATAGAATTTTATTTCTGTACCTTTCACTTTTTCTCTTCTTAAAGGAAGATAATTACATCCTCTCTTGTTTCTTTTGGTAACTTCTTACTCTTGCATTGCAGGTGAAAAAACGGAATTCAGAAGAAAGCTCTACTCAGTGGACAACTGGGATTGCTGAGGTTCAGCTCCCTATTGAGTATGTCATTTTATCAGTCTTTCATCTGATAATTTTAGCTTCTTATGATTAACTATATCTGCATCATACTCAGAATACTTGCCATTATTCAACTTTCAACGTGGGGCAGATTTAACGAGGCTGATATGATTTTGATACTCCCATCTAGATTCATTAATATCATGCCTCTTTTATTATAATAGATGATCGTAGACAATGGGCTAATTTTTCCTGTGCTTGCAGATACAAGTTAAGAAATATTGAGGAAACAGAGGCTGCCAAAAAGCTTCTACAGGAGAAACGGCTCATGGGCCGGACGAAATCAGAAGTTAGCATTCCGTCAAGTTACAGTGCAGATTATTTCCAGCGTGGAAGAGATTATGCTGAAAAACTCAGAAGAGGTGTCTTGCATTTTCCTTTTTGTGTTTTTGATAATGAAAATATAATGATCATTTACTGTTGTTCAACATCCTATAAATGTCAGAACTTGGTGGGACTTTCTGGTCTGCACCGAATTATATTTTGTCAATGGTTGACTACAATCCCCAGTTCTGTCCTTTCTTTATATACATGTAATGAGGTCTCTGGTATTCATTGTTACCTTTTTTTCCTCACCCTCTCCCTGTAAACTTGCAGAACATCCTGAGCTGTACAAGGACAGAAGTTCACAGGCTGATAATGCTAGGTCCAGGCCAACTGATACAGGCTCAGATGCAGCAGGAAACAGGCAAGCTGCTACAGATGAATTCATGCTAGAGCGGTTCCGAAAACGAGAACGCCAGCGGGTAATGCGGAGATAGCCCTTATTTATGCAAGTTTGAATTCTGGTTCATGTCTATGGCATTTGCAACAAAAAGGGCAAATGCTATATAAACCTTTGTTGTGATTTATAACTTCCATGTAATATTCTACATAATTTGTGAGCGGATTTCATTTGATTGCTAAGAATTTCAATGAGATTTCATCATCAAATCCTTAATATTCTTAGTTTGCAACAACCTCAGATTGCATACTTTGCATTCCTGAATCAATATACAAACCGCAGTATATATCTTTTTATGCATTATATGGTTGAATGCATAAAAGTTTGAATCGCCCATTCTGCATCTTTCCCATTGATGACATGCAGCAGTGACAAAGCAAATCCCTGCATTTAATCAATCCAAACACAATTAAAGTCTTCGGTTAGGGAGGATGATGTAGAAAGCTGTATGTTAAAGATCGAAGCTTCAAGTTGGCTCTTTTATAGCCTAGGTTTATGCTATACTTGTCCCCAAGAAGCTTCAAATACAACCACAAAGTGGTTTTCATGTGATGAGCATATTGAGCAGAATCTCGTGTAAACCCAAAGTCGAACATTTGAAACTAATTTGGAATTACCTTTAAGAGTCAAGGTGAGAATTCTGAAATAAGTAACGAGCATTTTGGAGAATGGCAACAGCCTCCTCATTTGAGGCATCAAGCAGCCGCAGTTCTTTGATCTCCTCCTGCCACTTCTCCATCTCCTCCTTATGTATTCTGAAATTTTCACAAGGAAACATAAAATACCCAGCTCTAATAATCTAGAACCTCACATTTCCAAATGGTAACTCACGCAATCAGCCGCTCTTCAAATTCATTACTCAGTTCTTTGAACATCGTCCTCCCTGATTCAAGAAGCTCAGATACCTGTATTGATTGATAATAAGTATGAAAAAGAACTTTAGTGGGCTCTGAAACAGTCACAACTAGTTAAGCATTGAAAGAAAATAATGCAACACTTCATCATCACTGCTCAATTTACCACAAAATCATACCAAACTCATCAAATTCACAGGTTTATCAACCATTAGTAGATGGATAACGTGAGAATCAAAGTGTAGTGAATGCAGGGTCGATAATAGCTACCAGATTAGTAAAGCGCTCAATTCTTTCAAAAATGTGAGTGATATTGAGTTCCATCTCTTCAGATCCCATCACGCCTATCTCAGTTTCTTCTTTCTCCGCAATCTGTAAAGCAGCTTCATCCCTTACGCTCCCTCGCTCCTCTTCCACCTACATTTTCAAAAATCAGAAGTTAAGAAAACATGAATGAAAACACCTTATTTTCCTTAAGTTAGTAAATTTTTTAGCAGAGGGAACATACAGCGGGTTTCATGCGTTTTCTAGAAACTTCAGTCCCTTCACTTTCCATCTTAAATCTGGCAGAAAACACTGCAAAAAAAGAGGAAAAAAAAAAAGAAGAAATCCTATAGTCCTGTAACCGACATTTTCAACAATTTCGTTTTCAAAACTCTACCAAATGCTTAATCTCATCACATTCTAAACAACTGCATACACTGAGAGTTTTCAAGTTAAAATGTTAGATCTAACGAGTCCTATCCACAACCAAAACCTAAAAAACAGATCAAAAATTAGAAACAAACATCCATCTGGACCATGAATTTCACAAAATCGAGATCAGAAACATGATTGCGATGCAATATTGCAAAATCTTAACGATTTAAGTTCGCGAAGATGAAGATAACAGATAAACAGATTCATCCGGAGCGAGAACTCATTTTACGATCGATCAAAAACTCGTGCCAATCTATAAACAAGCATTGGAACAATATCTCTAATTTTTTATGCGTGTTTGAGTTCATTTCGATGAAAAGAAACAGTGCTTTGATCGAATCTCTTGATTTGAATCGGCAGAGAAAAGAATAGAAGAGAGGTAAGAGTTACATACCTGAGGCTGAAGCTGAGTATGGTGAGGACGCTGAGTGACTGAAAGCAAAGAATTTTTCGCGACTTTGATTTGAATTGGATTGTTTTATATGTATTAGTTATGGGCTAATTTATACAGGCTTATCAGCGACTTGAGGAGCCCATTCTGAAAATATTTCTGCTGGCTGGACCAATCTGTAAAACAACTATTGTAAGGTCCAAGCAGTCCAATCCGTAAAACTTTTTATGGGCCAGCGGTCTAGTCTGAACCCCATTTTTCCTAGGGTGAGCATCCGATGTGCACGTATAACTAATATTTGTAGGTGCCTATCTTATTCCGTAGGTATTTTAACTGTATTTAGAAAAAGAAAAGATTAAAAATCAAGTATGAAAAATGCAAACTTACAAAGTATCGAGTTAAATATTGAAGCATATTTTATATTTAATTTGATATTTTGCAATTTAAACTATTATAAACCCTCAAATACTAGTTATTATGTGAACGACCTAAATAATTCAGTAGTCATTTTCTTCCGTTAAAAACAAAAGATCTTAAATTCAAATCATATAGTATGTGAGTGAAGTAGAATAAAGGATGAGAAATAATTACTTCTCATTATGTAACAAAAATAAAAAATACTAGTCATTATCAAATGTTTTGCAAAAATAAGGTTAAATGCTAAATTTAGTCCCTCAACTTTACGAAATGCACATTTTTGGTCCTTTAACAATTTTTTGCACTTTTTTGATCCCTTAACTCTAAAACTTGCACAATTTTGGTCCCTCCGTCAGTTAAGTATGACATGGCAGTTAAATAATTTTATGTGGCATTATTTTTTAATTTTTTTATGATGTGGCAATAATATATATTATAATTACATTATAAAAATGCCACATAGATTAATATTTTTTATTTTAATTAAAAACAAATACAATTACTTTTTTACCCTCACCCTCCCAATCCCTCTTCTTCCCCTTCTTTCTTTCTCTTTCCTTCTTTCCTACCTGGGTCGATGGAAAGATGAACCCAGCAGGCAAAACCAGCCTTCCTTACCCTCCCAATCCCTCTTCTTCCCCTTCTTTCTTTCTCTTTCTTTCTTTCCTACCCTGGTTTGGTGGAAAGCTGGGTTCATCGGAACCCAACATAGAAACATCCAACATTTGGTAAAGAGGGAAAGTACCCAATGGAGGGCTCTAGGCTCTGCGTGCTCCTAACCATTTTCTTGCTCAACGATGACTTGCCAATAGATAACTCTAAGCTCAAGAGGAACGTCACCGGTATGTTTCCGGAGCAGATTGCGCTTGCCATTTCCTCACCAACTTCAATGTGGGTCTCTTGGGTCACGGGTAGTTTCTTTCCAGATGTTAATTTTGCTTCTGTTCTTGTTTGTGCTATTATGGGTTCTTTGATGGATTCGTTGATTTTGGGTTGATTTGTGTTGGCTCAGGGGATGCTTAGATTGGCTTCAATGTGACTGCGCTCGATACATCATGGGGAACCCAGCAAAGCTGGGTTCGATTGAAACCCAGATCTCCTGGGTTCCGATGAACCCAGCCTTGCTGGGTTTCGTCGAAACCCTGTTGGGTTCGGTTGAAACCCAGCAAGGCTGGGTTTCGACGAACCCAGCCTGGGTTCATCGAAACCCAGATCTGCTGGGTTTCGATGAACCCAGATTTGCTGGGTTCGTTGAAACCCAGTCGACGCGATTTCCATTGTTGATTTACAATTTGATTGATTTTTGTTAGAATTTAATTAGAGTTTGATTGTATTTTTGTTGAAATTTGATTAGAGTTTGATTGATGTTGTTTATTGAAGGGTTAGTTTGATTTGATAACATCTGTTATGTTAGGTTTGAGTCTTTAATGAAACCCAGTAGCTGGGTTCAATGGCAGAGAATTTCAAATTCTCCTTTGAAGCATTCTAGGGTTCATAGGGTTCATAGGGTTCATAGACATATTATTTTGTGAGGACTTTACTGCTAGTGCAACCCAATTTGAGTTAGATTGATTTTGCAGAGAGTGAAGATGAGAAACCATTCTAGGGTTCACATATCTTTATTGGTGGTTTGCAGGCAACGTGAGACGGTGTTGGGGAAGAAGATGACATGTCATAAAAAAAGAGTCCAGTTCAGCACATTTTTATGTTGTTCTTGCCATGTCATCAAAAAAAAAATAAAAAATGCCACGTGGTTGAGTTAACGGCCGAAATTGACAGAAGGACAAACGTTGTGCATTTCTTAGAGTTGAGGGATCAAAAAAGTGCAAAAAATTGTTAAGGGACCAAAAATGTGCATTTCGTAAAGTTGAGGGACCAAATTTAGCATTTAACCTATATATTTTGGGTAAAATAGCAGTTAAAGCTCGGTAAATTGACATAATGGTCCTAGAGGTACTAACACCTAACACGTTAGCTGTCATCAATGAAACAACATAAGGTGGCTCTTTAAAAGATGTGCATCCCGACAGGTGAATTTTGACTCTTGTCCTGGAGTGGATCAGGATGAGTCTGCATCAGATGATAATAGAGTCATCCTGATCTTAATTTTAAAATTAATTATTCCGCATGGTACCGATGCTTTGTCCTCTGAAAAAAGAGTTTAACTTTAATAGTTGGGATTACTATCAAGGAAAGTAAAGATTTTGTTTTTTTAAACGAAAAAACAAAAGATGCCACAGGGAAACGGACTCCCAAATGAATGCAAATGGGATCCTTTGAGTAAAACGAAGAAAATTTTATAGGTCGTATGAAATTAAAAAATTTATGACCAAGAAAAAAAAAACTCGTGAAATTAGATGAAAAAAAACCAGGAGGCAAGAGATTGCATATCTTCTCCTTTTTGCTTTTTCAGGGTCAATAATTGCAGGCAATGGGGTCTTCAATACTTGTCTTTTTTTTTCCTTGCGGATGGGACCTCCGATTCCAAATAAAGTGAAGATAATTCCACTTGCTAAGTGGGAAAACAAGAAAATAGTGAATAAAGAAACTAAAAAGGACGAAAAATGGAAAGAAGCAAGCACCTTCACAGCTTCGCCTTTTTCCAGGAAAAAAAATTAGAGCGAAGATGTGCATCCCTCTATTGATATTATTGATATTTTAAGTTATTGATGGAAATTAAATTCTTAATTAATTAAAAATTAAATACTTAAAAATTAAAAATAAGGCATTAAATTCTAAGGCTTACTCAAGAAAAAAAACTCATGAAATTAGATGGAAAAAACCAGGAGGTAAGAGATTGCATATCTTCTCTATTTTGCTTTTTCAGGATCAATAATTGCGGGCAATGGGGTCTTCAATAATTGTCTTTCTTTTTCCTTGCAGATGGGACCTCCAATTCCAAATAAAGTGGAGATAATTCCACTTGCTAAGTGGGAATACAAGAAAATAGTGGATAAAGAAACAAAAATGGACGAAAAATGGAAAGAGGCAAGCACCTTCACAGCTTCGCTTTTTTCCAGGGAAAAAAATTGGAGCCCAGATATGAACATGGGGATGCCTCGTGTACCTGTATACCCACACCCCTTTATTGGGAAGTTTTGAGCTGTAAAACAACTTGCAACAAGAGACAAAACTCGAAGAAATTTTAGGGGTTAATTAATTAAAAATTTTGGTAGGACTAAATGAATAATAACCCATTATATTTTGATGATTCTGATAATTTTTAAAAATTCCATCCCTCTATAGATTTTTAGTGCAATGACAGTAAGGGCTCTTTGAATCGATGGAATGGCCCAATACTTAGTGACACCTGACATATTGGATGTCATCAATGAAATAATATTGGTTGGTGGTTCCTCAAAGATGTACATTCCTCTATTGATATTATTGATATTTAAATAATATTGATATTAAAATTAATTATTAAAAAGTATAATAAATAAAAGAATACTTATTTCCTTGTTTATAAAAGAACACCGAATTTCTTTATTACCATATCTCTTTCGAATTTGGATAGCATAGAAGACTTTTATTCCAATGTATCAAAAAAAAAAAAAGAGGAAGAAGCATAGAAGACTTTTCACAGTGTTTCCGCAGAGTTTTTTTTGGGTCTGAAATTCCATTGCAACAAATATTAGTTTAGGAATGCAACTTGTCTCTATACTTAATATAGGCTTAATCTCCTATTTTACCATCTACTTTATGGATTCTAAGATTATTGGTCTTAACCAACAATTTATTGATTCGAGTGAACGGAGTTTGATTTCATTTAAATAAAATTTTAAATTCGAGTATTATAAATGAAAAAATAAATATTAAAAAAAATTTCCTTTAATAAGATTCAACGCGATTCAATTTTAAATTAATTGAAATTCAATATAATTACTAAATACTCAAAGATTAGTAAAAAAAATTATTGGTCTCATTCTAAAACTTAAAAGTATTAATTTCTCAATAATATAATTTTTAAAAAAATTCTTTTTATTTACAAATTTGAGGTGCATATAATTAATGAGCAATGCTAGGGGGCACTCGTCTCCGGCACTCTCCGGCCAATACTTTTTCTTTTATTGGGCCACGTTATTTTGGTTTCCCAGAAGTTTCGCCTGAAAGCTTTAAAGAAGCTTACGTGGCCCAATGAAAGAGGAAGTGCTGGCCGGAGAGTGCAAAAGCGAGTGTCCGTAGCACTGCTCATAATTAATTAGATAATTGTAATTTCTGTTGAAAACACTTTTTAATTATTTTTTGGGTAACTTAAGCAAGAAGCTCTCTTTTGTTGAAATAATGCTTTGTTTCTTGGTCTTCCACCACATTGGATGTTAATGATGTTTCCCCGCACTAACAAATGTTGAGCTTATCCCCTTTTTTCTTCCTTAGGCATGTAGAATATATCTTGAAGTCACATAAAATTTTATCTTAAATATTTTAATGATATCTTAAGCATTCAATTTTTTTTAACAGCTGCACTCACTTTATTTTAAATATTACATTTCCTAATTTTTATAATGCCTCACATAAGTAGGTAATTGTAGTATAATTTTACATATCTATTTAACCTGTAGATGTAATGTTTCTTTATTTAATAAAAGTATAGTGAATATTAAAATGAATAATTTAAATTATTAAATATAAATAAATTTTTAAATAATAAATTTTATTTATTTATTTATATTTTATAATCCATTATAAT